TAGGGGGGTTTTTGGGGGGAGGGGGCAGTTTGTATTATTTTCTTACAAATATTTTTTTACTTTACTTTTTTCATACACATATTTTTTATATACACATATTTCTTTTACTACAGACATTTATTTATTATCCCACCAAAAAAAAAAAAACACATTTTCCCCAAAGGTGAACAACAGTGACACCCTGAGGCGACTTGTGTTTTACCCCCACATTTTGCCCTGTGCTGTAGCTGAACGACTGACGCTGAAACCTGGATTTTGGATTTTGAACCATGGTCACGGCGTTACTGTATCTGACCAGGACCCGTGCCCCCCCCCCCCCCCCCCCCCCCCCATGGTCCTGTGGATGTGGGGAGCTGGGGGGGTGCTGCTTGATGAGCGTCTCCGTGGTGGTTTAATTGTTCCATCACCTCTGGGCCGTTTCTTCTTCTTCTTTACGACCGCACTGCTGGCCTTTTTTACGAGGCGTTGAGAACAGCGTTGGCAGCCGTCGTACAGAACACGTGCACGAGGCGGAACGCTAACATTGATCCGTGCCTGTGGAATTTGTACGCACATAACGAGTTCAGGAACTTTCCTCCACTCAGTGGCAACACGATGTGGTTCCTGACGTCGGCCCCCAGACCTCAGGAGTCGTACACCACGTCGTACAGCTGTGATCGTAGAGCTGTGATCGTACAGCTGTGATCGTAGAGCGGTGATCGTAGAGCCATGATCGTAGAGCCGTGATCGTAGAACTGTGATCGTACAGCTGTGATCGTCTTTAGCTAATTTAATCGAATTAAAGCTGTAAAATACTGTTGCCTTAATATCAGTCAAATTCAAGTTGACGTTACAGCAGTTGACGTTACAGCAGTTGACGATACAGCAGTTGACGTTACAGCAGTTGACGAACCAGGCGGTAAGACTGATCTGACTGTGTTTCAGTGTCGGCTGCAGCGATTTGACAAATTCTGGGTTATTTTCTACTACTGTATCTCTTAGCTGTCGCTAAGTTAGCCTCCGATTTTCACTTTGGAGAAGTTTTGTAATTGTTGTCATTTATTAATCAATCAAAAGTAAATTTTGTGTCGTTTTATTCAGTTTATTGTTGCTGACTGTTAATCTGTAGCTGTTTTTTCCTTTTTTTAGACACAGTTGTTTGTCCTTTGAACTCTGGTGGTTCTGCTTCATACATTTAGAAATTAATTGGCTAACTTCTGAGGTGAGATTTATTTATTTGTGCAACATTTAGCTTTCTTTTACTGTGGCTATCGTTTGGCAGCTAACATGTTCTGCACCGACACTTGGTTGATGTTCCGATTCCTTTGATTGTTAATTGTCAGCCATTTTCCTGCCACTGATCTTGTAAATAATTCAGTTTTAGTTTTTTCTGATTCTCCTTTTTTCAAATGTTCCGGCAAGAAATAGGAATTACAAAGTCTTTTACAAACAAAATCATTTTCATCCTTTGTTTCATTAAACAGAAAAAATGACAAAGACGAATCCTCGTGTTAAAAAAGCTGACGGCACAGCAGGAAATCACACACACACACACTGGAATAACCAACTCAGCTGGCCACAGTGGCAGAGGGGCAACAAGGCAGGAAACATAGGCGTAGAAAAGACACGAAACAAAGGCTCTGTGATTCGGAACATTGAATCCATTTGTTGTAATTTGAATTTTATGTGAAGCATCTACAAAGACCATCTGGTCATTAGAGCACACAGACAAAAAGATGCTTGTTTTTCTTCTTCTTCTTCATTCTCCGTGCAGGTGGCTGGGCTCTGCTCTAGTTTACAGGACTGTCAAGACTGAAGGTGATCAGGTGACTTTGATCTCTGACTGGAGGTGACCAGGTGACTTTGATCTCTAACTGGAGGTGACCAGGTGACTTTGATCTCGAACTGGAGGTGACAGGTGACTTTGATCTCGAACTGGAGGTGACAGGTGACTTTGATCTCTAGCTCAAAGTGACCAGGTGACTTTGATCTCTGGCTGGAGGTGGCCAGTTGACAGGTGGCCAGTTGACTTTGATCTCTAGCTCAAAGTGACCAGGTGACTTTGATCTCTGGCTGGAGGTGGCCAGGTGACTTTGATCTCTGGTTTTATATGGCTTTATATCTTGTCTTTGATGTTTAGATGGGGCGGGTGATTTAATACCCCCGTTCATTTTAAGCCAGAGCTAACATTTAGCTGTTTCACCTCTCGCCTACTCTAAGCTCTTTTGAGACTTTTTTTTTTTTTTTTTTTTGGTTTTTAATCTTTGAAAAACTAAAAGGTTCTGATTTATCAACAGAGGAAAAGTGTTCTGTTCTGATTGGTCGGTTCAACTGCAGTATATTTGTAGGAACCGTGTGTGGGGGCGTGGACGTGCTAACAGTGGACCTCACCTTCATGTTGTCGTGGCTTTGATCTGAGCTTCATTCCAACAACATCACGTTGCTGTTTTTCCTTCTGGATTTTTCCGTCCTGACACATTGTTGGCGTTCCAACATTAGAGCTAACGTGGAGCCGCCGCGGCCGCTGAGCCGATCAGTCCGACCGGCGGGGCGGGGGGGGTGGCGGGGGGTTAACTTCCTCTTACTGTAATTGCTGCCATGGTGTTTGGAGGCTTCAAAGGAAGAAATTCTGTCCGAGAAATTACCCCTGAACCGGGGGTTTTCTGCACAAACACACACACACAGGAATGTGTGTCTTCTACAATGTAAGGAGGAGAGAGCGGCGGGAAAATGGGAGCTGTCAGTCAACCTAATGAGAGCAGCCTTTTCACACACACACACACACACACACTCAGTGTGTGTGTGTGTGTGTGTGTGTGTGTGTGTGTGCCCTGTAGAAGTGCCATATAATTGGGTTTCCTCTCCAGGACCACAGACAGACTCAGTGGATTAGATCTGACCAGGAACGCCTCCTTGCCTCCTTGCCTCCTTGCCTCCTTGTCTCCTTGTCTCCTCGCCTCCTTGTCTCCTTGCCTCCTCGCCTCCTTCCTTCTGGCTCCTCCTCTCCTTCATCTCCTTCTCAGATGTGACTCGTTGTCACTCAGGGTTTTGAGTCGTTCACTGCGTCGATTTCTACCATTGTTAACGTTTAGCATTTTGACTGTCAGGTAGGCTAACCTTTAGCTGTACGTGGACTTGTCTGTCTTTACTAAAGAAGGAGACTGAGGGGAGGAGGAGGAGGAGGAAGACGGAGGAAGAGGAGGGGGGGTTCTATTTCCTTCTTGTTTTTTTAAATTATTAATTAATTCATTAATTAATTCATGTATTTTTTTAAACCTTTTTAAATGTTTTTTTAAACCGTCAACAGAGTTTGGCTAACCTTAAACTGATTTTAGCTAACGACTGTCTAGCTCCTGACCTGCTGGTAACTTTACTAAGGAGCTGCTCTCTTCTCCTCCTCCTGCAGGTGGAGCTCTCTGACAGCACGGCCCACACCATCACTGATGCAATCGCTGGGAAGGAGTACATCATCCAGGTACTAGTTAGGGTTAGTTAGGGTTAGTTAACCAGCCCAGTGTTAACTATTAGACCCAACAACCATCTGTGGTCTGTACTGAGGCCATGGAGTCTAATGTGCTCATGATCACCCCCTGTAGGACATTAGTGAGGACTCTCCAACTGTTCAATCATTTTATTATTTAACTGTTTCCATCGGTGGTCAACAGGTGGCAGCCAAGGACACGGAGATCGGAACGTGGAGCGACTGGAGCGTCGCCGTCCACGCCACGCCCTGGATCGAAGATCCCTCACCCATCACTTCCACAACAGATGGAGATTTTCCCACTGGTGAGGCCCCCCCCCCCCCCCCCCCCCCCCCCCCGTACTCTTTGTTTTTTTTTTGAACGTTTTTCAGTTTCACCGTCAGGAGAAATGATTCATCTCAGAAAATCTAATTTTTATTTTAAGTTGAGGTTGAAAATGTGTCAAGAAAAGATATTTACAACAGTTTTTATTTTTATGATCCGTTTTGCAGCCAGTTGTGAATCTGGTGATAATATGAAAAAAGTACAAATACTGCCCTCTACTGGGAGTTTCCTGTGACCTCCAGAGTTAGGAAAAAAAAAATCACCCCTGAAAAAACTAAACTGGAGGTTCAAAAGGTGGCTCCTGGTCCAGCGGCTGTGCCTGCAGCCTGAAAAGAAGGTCCAAGTCTGGGGTGAAAACAGAGGCTGAGTAAACACTTCAACTGTGGGGGCGGGGGCGGGGTCCGGTCCTGCTGTCAGACACTTCTCATGGAGCAACACTGACTCCTGTAGGCTGTGCCTGGAACTACACAGCGATTTTTTTCAGTGGCTGCTGAAAAACCACAATCACACGTTAAACAGGACACGACGCCACGGCCGCCGCCCCACCGCGCCGCCCCACCGCGCCGCACCGTCTTTGAACCAACGTCAGGTTTTTATCTAAACTCTGAGAACGGTTCATTAGGATTCTGGAACTTCCTTTCTGTCTGTGATCCAGTCTGTGATCCAGTCTGTGATCCAGTCTGTGATCCAGTCTGTGATCCAGTCTGGGGTCCAGTCTCAGTCAGGATTAGAACCGCACCATTTGCTCCTACATTTCATACACTTCCTTTAAAGCGTAGCTGGGTTATAACACCTTCACTGATTGAAGTGGTGGGGGTCTGTCAGGGGCCCCCACCGTTCTTATCCTTGAGTGAGATGACCGTCGCCTAGCAACAGCATCCCAGCAAGTGAAGAGCAAACCATCAAACACTCCATGAGAGAGAAAGTGAAAATTCTCAAATCCCTAATCCTAGAAATGCTAAACCAAACACTAACCAAATACTAACTAAACACTAACCAAATGCTAACTAAATATTAACCAAATGCTAACTAAATATTAACCAAATACTAACTCAACCTTTGACGTGACCTTGAAAACCTGTTGATAAAATTCTAACTGTCGTTCCTTCTGTCGGAGCTTCATTAGCAACGAGAAGCTAATGAACAT